TTTGCTTGGCTTCCTTGTAATACTTTTAGTGGTTGCTCTGGGGGTTGCAATATGCATCCTTGTTACAGTCTGCTCTAATTATGTTTTACAGAATTAAAATTTTATCACTTTACATTTCATCCTCATACCTGACTCTTTCCCCTTCGATACATGAAAACAAAGCAAACTCGTCACAACTTTTCACAGGCCAATCTAGGCAAGTGAATATTTTACCTTTGTCTTTTAAGATGTTGTTTTTATCTCTTTTAATTCTTCATAAGTCATAAATCTTATCATACATTGCTGTTTCATGTGTATGGTAAGAACACACATACATCTATGTAAGCATTTTTACATGTGCAATTCAGTGACATTGATTATATAGATCATCTTGTCCAACCATCACCATTACCCATTTTCAAATGTTTTCATCACCTTTAGAAAAAGATCGATATTGCTCTTATTTTTGCTTTAAACAATCATTTGTTTTCCAGGACAGTAAGAAACGAAAACCAAATACTCTATGTGTTTACCCACCCCACTTGTCATTTTCGATATTCTTTCTTGTTGATCCTAGTTTCCATCTTCCAGGATTTCACTTTACCATGAAGAGCGTGGCTTAAGTATTGTCTGCAGTACCCCTTTTGCAGAGGGGAAGACTGAAGCATGGAAAGGTGATTTGTTCAAGTCCAGCACAGGGGCATAAAGCCAGAACCGACGCTCTGGAGCTGGGGCTTCTTTCTGCAAGATCAGACCTGTTACTGGAATCCGCCTTCCATCCCAGCCCCCACCACGTGGAGGCGAGGCGGCTGGGCGCTGACCATTGGACGGCACATTTCTGAGCGCCCATGTGTGTCGCTAGGAAGATCTGGAACACCTGGCAGGCAGAAGCGGCTCCAAGGTTCAGAGGAGCGTTTTCATGTTCTGCGTAACTTGGGCAGAACCCCTTCCGGCAATACACCTTACACTCCTGCTGACTCTTGAAAAACAAGTGGCGAAAAACACCCATGATCTAGTTAACAAACCCATCAAGCACATTGTTCTGATTTATTTCCTATTTCATTTTTCTTTTCTCTCTTTCTAAGCCAGAAGCGAGAAGGCAAGGGCTTTGACCATGAACGGCAATGGTGTTTACTGGGTTTAAGCACCTCCCCATATGCTTCTTTCTCTTTTTAGATATTGAGATGTAGATCAGAGAAGCTTTCTTACAATAATGTATTGCTTCAAATATTTAGAGAAACCCTTTGAACACTATCATAAGATGAGGTAGTTTATTGTGCCAACCTGGCCAATAAACACATGTGGGGTTAATTGAAGGGCAGAGAGATAAATAGCTCGGTGAGGCTCGTCTTTCTAGTTCTCGGGTCTCTTGCTTTCTGATGGTTGGACCAGGGTGCAGCTGCCTTAGCCAGTTCCCTGCTTCAGTTGGCAAGGCTGACTTCCTGCAAGACATCCCTGAGGAGAAGCCACATGGACCTATCCTGATGCAACCCTGGATGCTGAAGCAGCCGTGTGGAGACCCCTGCCAACACTGAGATGCCTACATATTCACTGATACGGCTTTCCTCTTTCAGTCGGCATCATTGTGTGTGGTTTGTGAGATGGAGGAGAACTTTATGGACTGGTGTTGGACATATGAGTTAATGGGTTAATGCTGGACTTGTGGGCCTGGGCAGCACCGGGTTGGGGTGTTTTCTTGATGCACACTTAACCTTTACATAAAACTCTCTCTTATACATGCGTTTCTGTGGATTTGTTTCTCTGAACTACCCAGACTATCATCTTCAACATCATTTAAAAAATTAGTATGATGCATATTAATAACTCCCCACCCCATTCCAAGTCCAGACCCCTCCCAGCAGTACCGATAGAGCCTCAGGAACCACTCTGGATCTGGGGACACTCTGGAGTAGTCTAGAATTGCCATCTTCAACAGCTGGATGAGGCACACACTGAGCCCTCTTTCGAGGGTGCCCTTGGGGCGACATTTAGATTTTTGTGTAATATTAGGTCCTCTATGGACAAATGCCCATGCATGGCAGCCCAACGTGTAACCAGGGATATGAGGGCCTACAATTCAAATAAATACAAACAACGATGTGTTTTCAAACTAGCAAACATGAAAGATAAGCAGTTTTAAAGATTAAACAGTTTTATTGGGACATAATCCACCTATCCTACTTTTCAATAGTTCAAGTATATCAAGAAGCGTGGTACAATCATTGCCACGATGAATTGTAGAACCTTTTCTTCTTTCTTGAACTTCTTGTTATTAGCTCCCCGTTTCCTCCCAACCTCCCCTGGCAGCCCTGCCCCCCAAATCATTATTCCAGTTACTGTCCCAAAAGATTCACCCATCTTGCAGTTCATTGATTGAAACACTTACCAAAAAAAATAAAAACTAAGAAACAGAAAAGCTACCAACAGTAATAAAACAAAATAGAGGAAAACATCAGCTGAAAAGAAAGCAGAAAGTATTAAAAACTAGAACAACTTCCAAATGGGTCAAAAGGGAGAACCAATGAGAAGGTGTTCACTTTTACCCTAGCTATATCTGCCCCAACCCACTTCCTAGTGCAAAATGATAAGCAGCTCTCCTTTGGAATTGGAAAAAATGCACCGGCTCCTTGTCGGAGCCATATGAGATGGGAATGGCCGTTTGGTGAATGAATTTCCTATTTTGGTAGCATAATTTAGGAAGTGACGTGCTTGTCACCTGGGAGAGACTGGACTCTAAACAATAGAACAAACGAAGAGGAGAAGAAGGCAGAGGGCAAGATCCAGGTGGTCACTGTCACGCTGTCTTCAGTTCCTGAGAAACTGCCCAGAACCTTCCAAGTTTTATCGGGATCCAAATAAAGTTAGAATACTAACCATTTCTAACAGTTGTTAAGCATTTACTATGGGCAAGGCACATTCATAAGCCACACATAACTATTTTATATAATTTTATGCCAACAACAACAACAAAAAAACCCCAACACTCTAGAACAAGGGTCCTCAAACTTTTTAAACAGGGGCCCAGTTCCCTGTCCCTCAGACCCGTTGGAGGCCGAACTATAATTGTAATTCACATAAAAGCTATGAACACATTCCTATGCACATTGCACATATCTTATTTTGAAGTAAAAAAACAAACGGGGCAAAAACACCTGGCGGGCCTGATAAATGTCCTCGGTGGGCCGCATGTGGCCCGCGGGCTGTAGTTTGAGGACGCCTGCTCTAGAACCATGAAGAAGCCTTGATGTAGCTGGGGGCTTAGGCATTTGGGTTAGACATTAGGCTGCTAATCACATGGTCAGAGGTTCAAACCCACCACCTGCTCAGAGGGAACGAAATAAAGATGTCTGCTATCATAAGGACTTACTGCCTTGGAAGCCTTATATAAGGTTATTAAGATTCAGAATCAACTTGATAGTGGTGGATTTGCCTGGTTTGGTTTAGCTACCTTTGGTGGTGCAATGGGTTTGTGTTCAACTACTAACCTACAGGCTGGTGGTTCAATTTACCCCAGGGTGCCACGGAAGAAAGGCCTGGTGGTCTGCTTTCTTAAAGATTCCTGTCCAGGGCACCCTCCGGAACAGTTCTATTTTGTCATGTATGGGGTGACTGAATTGGAAATGACTCAATGGTATTGACTGGTTTGGAGACCCCTAGAAGAGCCAGAATTTAGTGCTTACTGTGCTTCTTCATCATCATAGCAACCCGATGTGGCAGAGTAGAGCTGTCCCTTTGGGTCTCTGAGAAACAGCAAGCCTCACCTTTCTCTCCTGGACCGGCTGGTGGGTTCAAACTGCTGACAAGGCAGTTTTGAAAACTAAAACAATAAACTGAGTGCACGCGTGCACACACACACACACACACACACACACACAAGGGTGGGTTACACGCTGGGCTGCTAACTACAAGGTTGGCAGTTTTAAATCACCAGCCACTCCATAGGAGAAACATGAGACTCTCTACTCCTGTGAAAGATGGTCATTGAATACAGAAGACCCAAATAGAATCAATGCATTTGAATTGAGGGGTTGGAGAAGAACAAGCAAAGGACCATTGGACTGCTAAAAGAACAATCTTGTGAGGCCTGAGTGCTCCTTAGAGGCAAGAGTGGCAAGACTTCATCTTACATTCTTTGGACATATTGTCAGGAGAGATCAGTCCCCGGAAAAGGACATCATGTTTGGTAAAGTGGAGGGGCGGCAAAAAAGGGAAGGTCCTGAAGGAGATGGACGGACACAGTGGCTGCAACCACTGTGAGGATGGCGCAGGACTGGGCAGTGTTTCATTCTGTTGTGCATAGGGTTGCTATGGGTCGGAACTGACAGCAAGAACAACTCCCGTGCAGGGTTACAGCCTCAGCAACCCGCAGAGGCATTCTACCCCGTTCTACGGGGCCATTGAGCTGGAAGTGACTTGATGGCAGAGAGTTTGATGGGGGATATAGACTTTTTCGGTTGTGAAGATATGGGCAATCTGTTTGTACTGCTATGGCTATATAGACTCAAAGAAGGCCACAAATGGGTTCACAAATAGGACCACCTAAATGTACTGTCTCTTGTTTATATAGTGAGCTTAAAGGTTTGTGGTACTAAATTGTAAGTGGAAAAGTCGCTAACAGAGTTTAAATTGGGCAAGGGCGTGGGATGCCACCAAATTACAAGGTCACCCTTTTCCTTGGCTCCTCCCTCTGGTTAGCCTAACTATAAAGCTTGTGCCGACTGCTGTCCTGTTCTTCTAAAATTCCACCTCCTTGTGGGTGATTGTATTCCTGGAACGCTCACCCAAAATAACAAGGCTGCACTCTGCTCTGGTGTCAGTTCTGGCTTGTTTGGGAATCTGGCTTCTCCCAGGGAGTTGGTGGAAGGACGTACTAGTTGGGGGTGAGCAGAGTTGTTTTCGAAAGGGGGTGCTGTACCTTTAAATTCTGCAAGTGAACTTGGCTCAGTAAGGCCAGCAGCTCAAGGTCCAGCCCCTAGAAGAGAGAATAGCTACAGATTCTTCTTCCTCAGTCTTTGCAAGGGGACTGCTGCGCCAGCCGGCCTCTGGCAGCCTCCTGGCAACATGGCAGTGAAGCTCGGGGCACTCCTGCTGGTCCTTGGGCTCGGCCTGGCTCAGCCCGCCTCTGCCGGCCGGAAGCTCCTGGTGTTTCTGCTGGATGGCTTTCGCTCAGACTATATCAGTGATGAGGCCCTGGAGTCTTTGCCTGGTTTCAAAGAGATTGTGAGCAGGGGAGTAAAGGTGGATTACTTGACCCCAGACTTCCCTAGTCTCTCGTACCCCAATTACTACACCCTGATGACTGGTGAGTACTGCGTCCTCTTCTTGAGGGGAAGGGGAGGGTTTGAACCAAACAGGAGAGCAGTTATCTCCTGGCATCGGAGTCAGATTTAAATGTCCAGGTCGCGCTTCCCTTTTGGAGCCCAGAGATGGACAAGACGGCGGTGTGCTTGGTCCGAGGAGATTTCCTTCTTCTTCATTCGTGGTTGTGTTTTCTCCAATAGTTACCCAAGGTGCTCTCTGGGTTCTCCACGTCGAGAGAACTAGAGGGGCAGTAGATGGACCCATCTGCTGGTAAATCAGTGGTTGTTTATTTTACAGATAAAACTGGTGACCCATCCGATATGTTCCAAGTCCATGGCACCCTCCTGGGTCCCGGCTGAGTGTCCTCTCCTCTTTGTCCGCAGTCATCGGTCAGCGTGGAGGCACGTGGGCCTGTCTCTCAAGGTGCCAGGCTGTGTAATTCACACAGGACATCGCGTGGAGGGGGCTCATGTTCCTGGGTCACTTGGGGGTGGGGTGAGGCGGGGACTTCTAGGTCACTGCCACATTCCTTTCTTCTTTCGGTTTGGTCTTAGAGAAAAGGGCATGGAGGAGGAATGTGTTGTACATGGTGCTGATTTTTCATGTTTAACTTCTAGCACCTCTTTAAAGCAAAAGCCAAAACAGAAAGAAAAAGAGGTACCCCCTAAGCACCCCCTTTCCCCCCAGCCCCTCGTCCCCCCTACTATGGCTGACTCAGATTACGCCTGGGTTTGGAAATATAGAACTGTCAGAACTCCAAGTGTGGTACCACTCAGCTGATCTGCTCTCTGTGCAGTAGAGCTCGGTGCTCTCTTTCTGTTCACATGGTTGGATCCCCAGCTTCCGGCATGTTCTTTAACTAAACTTTGCCAGGGCCAGCACGTGGGCTCAGAAAGAGTTGAGCCAAAGGTGAGCTGTTAAAATAGCCCTGTGATTGCTGGTGATATAAGACTTCACTGTGTGCTCCGAGCCCACGGAGAGCTTGACACAGTAACCGAAAGGGCAAGAGAATGCTTGTTTAAGCTTGTGTCCCCTGCACAGCACAGAAGCCAAAGGAGTCTGGGAATACCAACTGGGGTCTGTGACTGCATACACGAGCGCTGTGTGCCTGCAAGTGCCATAGCAGATACCCTCAACGACAAGGCGACAGTAGTTTGCGAGTAAGAAATGAGAGGAAGGAGAGAAAAATGGATCACATTGCATGCCTGCAAGGGGTCTATTTGCTTATTGTGTGATTTCTCCTCTAGACAAAACAGCCTAGGTCTCTCTGCTGAGAAAGGTTAGCAAAATATCTCCTCTTGTACTCACTTGGCACGCGTTTCCCCTGGCTGGGCAGCAGTTCTCAGGCTGCTGGGTCACACACAGATACTATTGTGCATCACAAGCCCGGCTTCAGTTCTGTCCGAAGTGCTTCATACACACACAGACCACCCTGCTCCAGCCCCTTTTCAGAGCCCGGCTGGCAGACCCAGTTCATAAAGTGCCACGTGCCGTTTCTCCATCTCCATAGAGAAAGAACAAAATGCGCTCCAGCAGCTCAGGCTCCCACGAGTCAACTCAACAGAGCAGCCAAGCCGCTGGCCCTGCTTTTTTGTCGGTCACAGGCACATCCCTGTTAGGGACACAAGGGACGATGTGCGCAAAGCCCCTGCCAGGCAGTCACACCCTCCTGCCAGGTGCTTTTGCTGGTCTGGTCCTGAGAGGAGAGCCATTCCCAAGAGAGTCTGGCTACCATCACATCCTCACCTCCACAGAGTCCAGCCTGAGCCTCAGTGCGTGTGGTCGCTGTGGATTTTCAGAGCGCGTGCGGGAGGGGCTATCTGATCTGAAGGACTGCTTGGCTCCTACGCTGACTCTCCTATTGGCATAGCAGCGCACTGTGCACGGGTGGTGTCTCGTCAGTGCATGTTCATGTACTAAAGCCTCCCACTTGGATTTGTCATCTACTTGCTGAGCAAGCTTACAAGCTTGAAGCGGTGATGTGCAGGGAACTGGGATCATGTGTACTGTCCCCACACTACGTCTCACAGCTAGATTTAAGTTATTTCCCTTTAGTACCCATGCTTATTTTTCCACTATATATCTATATCTATGTCTATGTCTATGTCTATAACTATATCTATATCTATTTATATATATATCAGGTGGGAGGGATATTTTATATATATATACAGGTTAACAGGTTGCAATCATACGTCAACAGATGGCTTGAGACTTTGAGCCTTTTATGAACCAACAAAAATATCACACTAGATCCTTTTGGTACCAAAAAAGGTGTTGTTCTAGGATTCTTCAGGATTCATAAGTGAGACCATATAAGCACACTTCATCGGGTGAATTATTATCACCAAAGACATCGAGCCCATGGTGTTCTCCTCTTTGCATGGTGAGATGTGCTGGCTTGTTGGACAGGACACTGGCCTGGGGCTGGGAGGATTTGGTTGGAGTCCTTGCCTGGTCATCATGATGCTGGGAGACTAGGTAGGCCATTTCACTTCCTTGTGCCTCCGTTATCTCAGCCGCAAAATAAAACACGATGAACGTCCAGCTGGGAGGTCAGGTGTACTGGGGGTAAACTTGCCTGGGGAATTATGGTTAGCAATGGCTCCCCTGAGAGTCCTTTGTGTGGAAAAATAAGCAATGGTCTGAAACTAGAAACGGGAGCGGGAGGGTCTGGCAGAAAGCCCCGATGATGGCGGTGGTTAAGGTTCTGGAGGGACCCTCCCCCAGCCCACGGCCCTGCAGGGAGCCGCTGCCTGATGGAGCTAGCTCTCAAGCTATGTATGTTTGCCTCAGAGGAAGTGGAACCCACCTACGGGGGCAGCAAGAAGATCCATCACACACAAGCTCTTTGAACAGGCGCGGCGCACACAGCTGCTAACCGAATGGCTGAGGCCTCGAAAGAACAGCCTCATGATCCACTTTCAGAAGAGAGGGGGAAAGGCATTAACAACATAGGGAGCGTGGACTTCTCCGCCACACGCAGGACGGCTGTAGACGGCAGCAACGGGCTCACCGATGGAGAAGGTCTGCGTTCAGGTTGAGGAGGAGGGATAGACCTGAGAAAGGGGGCCTGGGAATACGCCGAAATGAATGCCAGAGGGCCGAAACCAAACCTGCTGCCATCGAGGGGGCTGTGACCCATAGCGGCCCTGGGTGGGACGGAACACCTCGACAGGAGCTGGGAGACTCCGAGCTTTCTGTGGGTTGGAGCCTGGCCACCCTTGCCCAGCAGCTCCACTAGGGCCCCTGGAAGAGACCAGAGGAGAGGACGCCCCTCCGTTCAGAATGGCCTGGGAAAGCATTTAGAAAGACGAGGGAGGGATCAGAGCGGGAGGAAACATCTTACTTCATAGGAGCCCTGGTGGCAGAGTGGTTACAGGTTGGGCTGCTAGAACTGCAAGGTCAACAGTTTGAAAACAGCAGGCGCTCCAAGGGAGAAGGCAGGGGCGTTCTACTTCCGGACAGTTGCAGCCTCAGAAGCTAACTCCTAGGGGGCAGTTCTATGGAGTGCAGCTGGACTCGATGGCAGGGAGTCTGGTGTTTTGGTTTGTCGTACTTTCTAGACTAGTTCTCTTTCTGAGAAGCGGAGAGGGCATCAACTGAAGCTGAGGGAAACCCAGCCAAAGTTGAAATGCTAGGCTTTCTGTTTTATACTCTGTGCTACTGTGAATCTTTTTGCAAGGTGACTCTTTCATTGAGGTCAATCCCCATCTGATTTAAGTGAATTGAACAATAACACCAACCAAACAATAGCAACAACAAAAAACACGCCCAAACAATGGAAGAAAGTAGTGAATTGTTCCATCAGGTCATGGCTAATAGAAAATGCTGCATATGTTGGGAGGCAGCTTAAGTTCGCATTGCTGTGCTAAGGCTAATGGAGACATTTGTTTGTAATTCTTGAGGACTAGGGGGGGAGCAGGGAAGGAGAATGGCCCAGAAATGCCCTCAGGAGCAGAGAAGCTAGCCTAGAATTTAATCTCTACTGCAAACCATCTTTCAAGAAAAGGCCACACACAGAAGGGCGGTTGGAAAGCCATCCAGTGTGCTGTGATAACTTCAGGCCTTAGAAACCTGTCATTAAAGCCCAGGGCAGTTCAGGGTTTGGTGTAGTGCCAATGCCAGTTGAGAAGGCCCTCGGGGCCCGTTCTCACATTGCAGTGCGCTCAGATCTGACTAAGTCTCAGGATGCCCAAGAGGTCTTGCCAGTGACTTTAGAGCCATGACTGAGCATTCCCCAGGGCTAGCCATCAAGGCTACAAGAGCCTTAATAAAGAATAGTGCTTGATGAAACTCCTGCTCAAATCTAAGCAAACATCAACATGCTAACTGCTCCACATTAATATTTGTGTAAGTGTATTTCCTCGTGCACGCCCAGAAATTACATGCAAAGCAAATTCTTACCAGACACGAAGGACGCAATGTTCTGGAACAAGAGACTGCAGAGTAAGTCCCCTGCTCTTAAGAAAATATCTGATTTAAATTAAAACGGGCCGTCCCGGAGACCAAAGGAAATTGATGCAGAAAGTGGTTGAACAATCACATTTTCAAAAAAGCCCACAGTCTTGGGCTTCTGCAGAGTTTAGGTCCCACTTGGGTGAGGGGGTAGGATGGTGGAGGGGGTTTCCCACAGTCCTCTGCACCCCTAGCACAGAGCAGCATGGCAATAGTCTCCCTGGCTCCATTTCCTGCCCTGCCGCCATAAACCAGCCTTTATCCAGAGACACCCATCCCTGTGTGTTAGCTGTCTCAGATGGAAACAGATGCATGCGTGGCAGAGGAGAACTGTGCTCTGCAGGGCTTTCACTGGCTGATTTCCAGACGGAGCTTGCCAGGCCTCTCAGTGAAGGCACCTCTGGGTGGGCTTGGACTTCCAACCTTCTGTTAGCAGCTGAGCTCGTTAACAGTTTGCAGCATCCAGGAACTTACAGACACCTCCTTTAAGAAGCCCAGATTTGCTGTATCTTCCTCCACTCTCCTCTGCAGCCACTCCAGCCC